AATAGTTAGAAAAAGTTCTTACTTTTTACACTTTTGACGATATTGTTTCTCTATGCCTTCAGGCCGTTTTAAATACACGATTTCATCTTGTTCACAAGTCATTTTATGAGCATGTTTACTACCATCAATAACTCGTGCACCATCTCTCTTTCTCAGTGGCAATTTGTCTATTGCACAATCTGTAAAAACATGAATAAATAGAGCTTATTCTTAATATATTATTCTACTATATTCTTAAATTGCAAGGAATAAAATATAAACGTAAATAATAGCTACGTAGAACCTAACCTAAAATCAATGTCATTTGTCCACATAAACAATAATAGATATGTAACGGTTTTTCTTCGCTGTATTCTTCTTGATCTTTGGTATCGGAACATATTATACTTCTTGAAACTACTTTCGGCATTTTTACTTTAAATTATACAATTAAAATACAAGTTCAAGTTGTGCTTGTCAAATTATGTTTACAAACGTGTTTTGATTCATAATCGATTAATCGAATCATTTCCGAATCTAAATTTTAGTGCGCATGCGTTCCGAAGGCATAAGGATATGTACTTATATATCTTTTACATGTAAATGTTAAAAATTGTAAACTATTTTATACATTACAATATATAATTTTATATAAATAATCTTTTATCAATCCCTTGTTATAAAATCTATCTCTTGTGCGAATTGGAGACATTTTGAACAAGATTATTTACAGTCAGTATACAAAGATTTCATTTTTATGTTTATTTAATTAAATGCGTTTATAAATATTATGTGTTTATTTATTCAATGAAACATTATTTTATTTTATAACAGAAAATCTCCAGTTTTAAAAATCGTACGGACTACGTCTTTTTCATTTTTATTTGAAATATTCTAGATAGATAATGCAAATGTTTATCTCTGTTTTCTGTATACAAAAATTGCAGGAATTTAGGTGACTTGAAAATCCCAACTTTTTTTCATACAATTTTGTAGGAAACCTCGGAACAAGTAGTAGACAATTTCTTTCTTGTCCAATTTCGGTTTTTTAGGGTGAAATCACCTATGAATAGAAATAGTTGTTACCGTATTTTCCTACATACCTTAAAAATTATAGTAGATATAAAAAAAGTATATGGAATCAAAAGTGAATGTTTTTTATTCTTTATAAGATGGTGCTATTAAATTATTTGAAGTTGTTTATTTTAATTAAAAATCCCCCACCACCCTTGTTATTAACATTTTTTACTTTTCTGTCCACTCCCCGATATACAGAATAAATCCAGATAAATATTTTAAATACGCTGATCACGTCGGTGAATGTAGTGTTCAAATCATTTTCTACGATGCGTGCTTCTTGCACGTTTGTCGTTGCACTTTGAACGATGCGTTATCGGTTATCAAGTATGTGTGTAATCTTTGGTATACCTTTATCGCACGATGTAACATGTTAGATTTGTTCTACAATCTTTGCATACAACTAAATAAAAGAAATAGGAAAAAACAGTAATCCGATTTTTCTAAAGTTAAAGTGTTAACGCCTCTCTTTCAAGACAGCAGCTAAATTTAGCACCAATTCACCTCATGAGTACTTTGGTTATTACATCTCTTGTATTACCGTACTCTCGTTATCTTTTCAATTACATCCAGCATCAGTGGTAAAAATATAAAAACGTTAACAGCGAAAAATGTGTAATTGGTTTAAAAGTTCTTTAAACATCAAAAAAATTTCAACTGACCAAAAGCTCAATAAAAAGCAAACGAGAAAATCAAACATGTTTTCCAAACATCAGTGAAACGGTTATACCGGTGGTGACGCTGTTCAGAAACTACCCCCGCAGACCCAACTCCGTGCCATCCCGTCGCGCAATATCGCTTCGGTTGCAACCGTAAGATGACATTAGTCATGCGAAAATGTGCCGCCATCTGGCGACGCTGGCTGCGTATCAGTCAGGATGAGCCAAGAGGATTTTCCAGTGGCTCCTGTGGTCGGAAATTTCACTCGACCGCACTCGGCGTTCAGTCGCGGTACAGCGTTTGACACGCAGTCGAAGAGGGCCAGTAGAAGCGAGCACGAGATGCCAAATGGTGGGTGGTGAGTAGCCGAGTTGGTCGCGCAACGTCCGTCAGATAATATGTGAACAGTGATAAATCGGCGTGGTGTGGTGCAGACTCGATTCACAATTGTGGCTCGTAAACCTCGTGTGATCTGTAAAAGGTAAAAGGCGACAAAAGTGCAGTGACTCGACATTTGATTGGTAGTGCACGCAGAGCAGCGGCCCTTCGCGTACACACACAGACACACACGTACGTACGTATTAAAACATACTCATATACAAAACGCTCGCACTTACACTCTTCCTCCCCTTGTCTCTCCGTTTCTTCTCCGTCTCTTTTCCCCTCTCTCTCTCCCTTTTTTCTTCTCTTCTCCGTCTCTCCCGTTCTCTCTCTGTTCCACCTTCTCCACTGCTGACGTTCCTTCTGCATTCCTGCAGTAGCTCGCACGTACTTGTACTTTTTTCCCTCGGTTTATTCGAGATTTACGACTGCGCCCCCTCCGTCGTCGGACTCCGTACGAATGCGTTCTACGGTTTTCCAACTTGTTACGAACGACAGTCGAACTGTCCGCGGCCGGCTTCCTCGTTGGAATTCGATTGCACGGTACCGTCCACGCACAGAGAGGTAGCGAGAGAAAGGGCGAGACGGAAGAAACAGGAGAGACGAAGAAATTACGGCCTACGATTGTGATCATCGAAACGTACCAATGAAACCAGCGGAAAAGTGAGAAACAGGATTTTTCTGATTTATTTATTATTAATTAGAGAAACCAGTGAAGGGTTCAGAGGATGGTATTCCATTGTATCGAAGGCGTCTCTCTTTGTTTACTTTCGTCTTGTCGCGGACTGGACGAAACGTGAGAATGTTCCCCGCGGTGTATCACCTAAATACAATTGTTCACGGTCTTTGTGATCCTGGCAGGGATTTATATGGTAACCCCGTTACGCACGATTCTACGGAATGAAACTAGCTGCGGTACCGTGGGCGTTTTAGCTTTAGAGAGATATCGGTGTTGATCGGAAAATCTCGAGATCGGCGTATCTGTCAGCTGATGGTAAGTCAGCCATGTCACGACTGCTCGCGTTCCTCGCCGTGTGTACACTTGCATATATTATGACAGTTTTAAATCTTTGCTCTTGTAATGTCGTCGCAGCCGCCGCTTCGCGTATCTAGGATCAAGGACGGATTTTATGATCCGGATTCGTCCCGTGAGTAAACGTTACATTCGATTTGTTCCATTGAAGAAATTCTTGAATTCTGTTCTCTTTAACCCTATGCACTTGACAATACTTGTTATTATGAATATTCGTTATTTTCTGATGAAATATCGGTGATCTTATTCTTTGTGACGTAAAGAAAGATCTTGCATAAATTAAGAGATAGAACTGTTTTATTTTTATATTTTGAATGTTGATGCTTTATACAAAATGCCATGTTGAATTTCAAATTTTATAATTTTCCTCTGTTGAATCAAACGATTGAAAATCTTTTGAGTGCAAAGGGTTAATACGTTCCTCCAACTGGTCAACGAACCGGTTTTAAGGACCGGTGAATTTGTTTACATAAAATATTTTTGAATTTTTATGTACATACTGTATACACATATCATATGCTAAAATGATTTAAATCATTTGAATTATTGAATACAATTTCGAATATTCTTATAAAAACCTATATTGTTGTCAGGCATAAATTGGTGTGCAAATACAATTAAATTCATGAAGGACTCGTAACCTAAAAACTCTCGTATACTTGTGGTCGATCAGCAAGGTGTTAAAATTTGAATTAAAATTCTGCTTTTTCTTTCGTCCGTTTAATTTCGCATCGCATTGTTTACTTTTATTTTGTAACCAGTTATTTGACTCGTGTACACAGATAGGTACATATATACAAACGTATATGTCAATACGGTTAGTGTTAAAGCTTCCATTTTTATTTAACAAGATTTGTGTCTCTGATTTCGTTATTTCAATGAAAAATTTTGAATAATGTTGGTAAATAAAAGAAAACTGAAATATATGTACATACATCTTTAATATTGACATCTTTTACCGTCGAAGAATGTTCGAAATGTTCAAAATTGTTCGACAGCGTCATCATTCAATTTGATTCGGTTAGGTAATTCGATAAAGCGGTCGAAGTAAAAGAAATAATCATTAAATCCGCTTCAACCTTACATAACGACTTTTATTCAGTACTGAAAGAAGGCTTCTGCGTCATGTAAGACGGTTCGCCTCGCTAATTTGATTCAAGTGAACATCAGTTTTTGAAAAGCTCGGAGAAAGTAAGCTAGACTGCAGATCTTTATATAAATTCAAGTTTGTAATAATCATAATTACTAAGATTGAATGACAACGGAAAATTTTTTTTTTTGTTAAAATATAAGAGGCACTATCCTTTGGATATTTTATATATTCAATCATGTGCATTCTAAGCAATTTTACATTTTTAAATTTCTCATAAATGCATCCATTTATGATCGCCTATTTGAGTGCAGATCATATAATTCGTAAAGTTAACATTATGCTTTGCATAGTTCAACAATATGAGAAATATATATATATAGAAATAATTTATGCGATTTTTCGATTAGTTAATTTTTAACAAAGTAGCGAGAACATAAAGGAATAATATCAAAATATATAAAAGTTACCAAAAATTGGAATATAAGTTAATATTTTATTAAAAAAATCTATACAGTTCATTATCAATATATAATCGAAATTTCCGTGGCACGGGACGTGTCAAAAATGTCGTCTATATTATGTCATTGGAAACCGTAGAATATTTCAAGTGAAAATCTTTCGATTTACTCTGGTAAAGCCGTAGTTACTTTTATCTGCCGCGTAGTGAAACGCAATGCTACGCAACGCAACAGAGTGCGTTCACACGTTTCTTGCGCGCATTGATCAGAGATACTCTATCTATTTGCACTTGTATTGACTGTCTTTGAAGGACACCGTCGCGAGTGAAAGAACTTCTCTGTTTAGCAAATAAACAAGTTCTGCGTTTTATCTTTCATCCCGTGGCAAGACGTTCCGCTTCGTATTCCTTACAGGATTCTTGTCGCCGGAACGTCCATCTGCATCCCGCAAAGTTTGAATATTTTCTAAACTTACGGTTTTCGATCTCTTCGTAATCGGTTATCATCTAAACTGAAGCACAAACATTTTAACGCCATCAGTTGGCACTAGAACTATTAAACAAGTCAAATTGACCTATTTCAGAATTGCTATTTTGCAAGTATTTAAATTATGAAGACGCTTTGTCTGGAGATTTTAAAATAAAGTGTATTTGTACAGATACAAGAATAATAGACCTTTCAAATCTTAAGAAGTATATTGTCGTAATTATTATAAAAAATTAGAAATAAGTTACTCTTGTTAAGTTTTCAGATATTTAAAGTTTTTAAGATATGAATAATTGCAAACTGAGAAATCTGAAACCCGTTATTTTCGGTTACGTTCGAGCAGTGCTCCCTGCAAGATTGTATTACACTTGTGTAAGTACACATGCACGTGATCACTTGCAAATAAATTGAAGTAGAAGGGATTAACACAATTGCATCAGGAAATTTTCTACAACTTCCCTATAAAAAAGAGTATTTTCACAATATCAAAATATTTCATTATACGTGTATCAAGACAGCGATTATTATTCTTGTAATTAGTATATAATATAACATATAACCTAGTATTCTAACACAAAGTACGAAAATCCTATAACACAATTCTCGTTTTCCGACGACAACGCTTATTCTTAAAAAACGAGAATTCTCGTTCCCTGACGCGAATGTGTTAATAGATCTATCGTTGGAACATCGGCTGTTCCCTAAAGAGGAGACGGCAAGCGTGGCAACGAGCGCGTGGACGACGCGCGACGCGAAGCTTGAATTTTGTCGACCACGCGAAAAAGGACAAAGGCTGGGGCCTTTTATCCGCCCTGGAGCCGGCACCGAGTCGGTACGAAGCCGGTGCAACCCACACGCGTTGCTTACTTAGGCTACCTACGTTACACATCGATAAAAATTTGTTTGCACGAACGACAAAGAGTAGTCGCACCGTGGATGCGCCTAGATTGCACGCGCAAACGCGGCGACCGAGATTTTTCCGTGAGATCCGGGAAAGCACACGCGAACGTCACGCAGTGTTTGTCCTTAAACACTTTTGAACGAAAGGAAAACATCATGAACACGATCACCCGGAAGAATTTTCTATTATTGGAATCATTGATCACGCGCGGCGCAGTTCCTGCTCAATTATCGTTTCAGATGTTTCTTGACTTTTCTCCTTCTGCCTCGTAAAATAGTTCCAATTATTATCACAATTGACGCATCTGTGGCAGGGTGGATGGACTGTATATAGACTGTATATGGACTTATATGTCCCATGAAATTATGATTATTTATATTCGTACTGATTACTTATACATCAACCCTTTGCGGACGAAGACTTCCCAAAGTATACAAAAGTTTTAGCAGAATTTCAACTGTTAAATGCTAGAAAAAAAGGAAACTATGTACTGAACGTTGGTTATTTGAATAATTAAATGATTCGTTTGCAATTTTCTATTGTAGATATGAAACTTTGATGTCGCCAATATGACGATATCCGTCCTTGAAGGGTGGAGGCACATAAGTGTACCATTTGGTTGGTAACACGGTTAATAAATGAAAGTTAGGAGTTGAATTGTAGGCAGTCACGTTACAGTACTGTGGGTGTGAAAATACAATGGAAATATATTAACAGAAAGAATTGACTTTCAGAATTATTGGGCCCAATAAGGGTTATCCATTTAGCAGACACATCGACTATTGTATCGCATTTGACGATTTACGACATGTTAATTGCTGTTGAGTTGGTAGTTTCAAACCTAAACCCTAATTGCCACACATTTTTCACGAACACGTGCTCTAAAGCCCGAGTTAGTAGTGATTGATGTATCGTAAACTTTCAAATTAAACACACCCGTCAACGGGACCGACGACCGCACACTTTATTGGGCCCTGCTTGAGCTCATTAACTCTACAGACCAATTTTTACCTGAACGTAGTACAACATAGTGGTGAACATAGAGTTTTGTAGCTTTATGCTACTGCATTATTGCAGGAATTTTAATTTCTTATTTCTACGCAATTTTTTAGAGCATTAAATATTCGATATCTTGTAGCCCGTTTGAGTTGCAGAACTAAAATTGCCTAAAACTGAAATTTCTGAGAACACTAAAAAATCCTGTGAATTCTAAATAGA